CCCCAAAACCCCAAAACCCCAAAACCCCAAAACCCCAAAACCCCATTGATGGTGGCATAATTGACTTGTTTGGATTGTTAAACCTGGATGCTTTTATTTAGTAGAATCCTCCAAATTTATTTCTAGAATATCCGAAGTTTGATTCTCTGGAATGAGCATCGTTCTGAGCAGTGAAGGTGATTCTTCCTGGATCTACTACGGTGACGACTGGCTGGTTCACACTAGGTAAGCATAACAAAGCTCCATTTTTGAAGAACTTGTCATATCTTGAGTCTTGGGCAATGGTATTCAGCTTGGTGTTGATACTAGCTCTTAATTTAGTAACGTCCTTCACAGCAGCTTCGATATTGCTACCTCCTGTTTTAGCAAGCTTATTGGGAGCCTTTGAAGCAACCATGTTATGAGAACCTCTTGAGTTAGCTCTTCTAATACTATTTATTGATTGCTGGATCGATCTCTGGCTTTTTCTGCTATGTCTTGAGCCAACAGAAGCATTCGATCTTCCAGATACATGACTACGGATGCTTCTTCTTGAGCCTCTTGAATTTTTCTCCATTGCTAAAAAGGAGAAGATTAGAGTGAAGTGAGTCAACTAGGATTTTATAATCAATTTGGCGGTTTGGAAATCAGAATTAGAAGAACTTTTCAATAACATGTGAAATCTCTCAGTCAAATTAGGCTACTATTGGAATGCTATTGGTACTATGATTGGTAAGATAATCACTTTCGGAGATTTTTCAATTAAGTAGAAATCTTTATCATGAAAGACGTCAATCAATAAGTTTTAAAGAATCTAAAGAGTCTCAGAATGTCATGTAGATCTTGAGATATCAGATTTCCTACCTTGACTAGCTCTAGACGATCTGAGAGACATCTGACTTCTTTGGGAAAGTCTTCTCTCACTACCTGTTATGCTCTTCCTCTCATTGTACTCATTGTAGTTATGGAGAGATCCTTGAGGCTCTTTGCCACCTGGGGCACCCAAAACTTTATCCAGGACATCTATGGTAATCAGGGTAGCTTACTTTCCAGTTCTTTTGGGTGTTCAATTGAGTTATCTTGTTGAGCGTAATCCATTTTAAAATTTTATTCTAATTAAAATATTTAGGAAGGGGTTTTGGGGTTTTGGGGTTTTGGGGTTTTGGGGTTTTGGGG